CTGGGAAATGCTGCATTTAGAGAGCTATGTGTGAACAACTGCAGTGAGGATTAGGTGGTGATGCATTATAGTTGAGCCTCCTCCCTATTAGCTTCCTATAAAAAATAAAACAAGCCCTTCTTTTCTACGAGAATTGTTGCAGTTTCTAGTCAAAGATGAATCTTGCTATCTTGTTTTGGTCTTTGAGGTGGTTAGACTAAGTGCTTCTGAAAGAATGTTTTTAAAGTTCAGGCTTTTAGGTGGGTTTGTCACTTCTAATGTTTTTTACTTTATGTGTGTGGTTTCTCTTAGTGGGTTTCCTATTTTTCCTCTAGTTTTTGGAAAGACTTGTTTAATACTGAGATTGATTGAATAAGAAACTATTGATCAATTAATTTTTTTCTAGTCAATTACAAATGAAATTTCCTAAAAATCAAGGTTTAAGGCAACATTTTAATAACTCACTGTTGGAATACTTCAGTGTCCTCCCACAGATCCCAGCAAATGCTCTATATTCATTGTAGCTTCTTCTGGAGCTAATGAAATTTCCTGGTTATATCACTACCAGTCAGATATTGTCTGTTTCAGTTACTACTGTAGTCATTCACCAGCTTTTCATTTGCAAACTTTCTTTAGTGTGGTCCCTGGTAGCAATATACCATGATACTTCCTTCATAATCTTTTGTACTTTGTTTTGTGTGTCAACTTTGCACGTGGGAGTTTTGTCTGAGATTGCTCCTTTTGGAGTGCAAGGATACTCTGTACCTTAGGATTGACGCACTGCCACGTGAAGCCAAAGAGTTGAGTGTAAGCGAATGGATCTGCTGTACAAATTCGATCTCAGTCTGTTGTTACTATTGGCCTTGTCCTTTCTTGGGTAGTATATGCGGTGTGAGCATCAGAGCAGTGCTTTTGAGGTAGGTATGGATGCACCATCTGCTTTATGAACAATTTCATCAGCAGTTCATTACCTTGCACGAGTTCTCACAAGCACAGGAAAGTGGGTGGCTTTCCAAGGAAAGTAGACTGTCAAGGAATACTTAGTTTGGACCCACAGACTTGTAGAAGTGCATTGTGTAGAAGAGTAAATTCTGAAGGGTAGTCCAAGTATGAACTTCAAATGGAAAGTAACCTGTGTGTTGATAAAATGGAATAATAGTTATGGAGTCAACTTGCCCAATCCTGAACCTGAAAGAGTAGAAGTGTGGTAGGCGCGCAGAAGTACCAAGTTTGGAAGTAGAATTTTACATGGAGGCTGCAGGGAAGGGATCAATGTATTTGAAAGGAGTACAGGTCAAATGTGGAGTACGAGTAAACAAAAACCGTCGACGTTGGCAGATGAACAGGGAAGTAGTCTTTCAGTGTGTGCTGAAGTGTTCAGATCCTGCGTAAGTGCACTTCCTAGTCTCATCAAGGTTTTGAAGGCTGCGCATTACTTGGCTTTTGACACATGCCGGTTTGATTCAGTGGAACGTGAGCTCCCAGTTGAGTTCAGTTGAATTGCTCTGCTATTTATCTTTGCTTGCTCTGCTATCCTCCAGATCGTTTGTGCATAATAATGAAATACGCTGTATCTTTTTAAGTCTTTTTACTCTTGTCTGTTTTGGATCTGGAAGCCGGATGGCATGTCTGTCGATCACCTTGTTGTATATTCATGGACATGGGTTAGTGCTGACTTACCAAATGTCTGGTTTTTTTACTTTGCTTTGAGGAATTACCTGCACATTCCACCTCCCCCGCCTCCTTTACCAGCCAAACAGCTGATGCAACTCTGTAAACTTTAGACAAGCCACATGAGCAGTTAAACAGGTTTATTTTGGTTTCTATACATCCTGCTACATGCCAGCATAGAGATGGGAAGGAAGGCAGGTTGTGAATGCGTTGCATTTTATCAGAATAGACTTTAGACTTTCTGTTAAATGCCCACAAGCGATAAGAAGAAAGAAAGAATAGAAAAGGAGCTGCCATCTGAGAGCCAAAATCAAGCCTAGGACTCTTCCACAGAAGAAGTAGAGGTAGGGTTGATAATCATAATTGTTCAGCCTATAGAATTTTGTAACCTTTCTGATTTCTTTTATAGCCTTAAGCACTGTAAGTTACATTTATTTTAGTGAATACTGATCTTATCAGGTTAGTCAGTAATAGACAAGAAATTTTCAGCCTAGATGGGAGCAGGACCATGGACTTGAGTAATTAATGCTTTGCAGTGGTTCAAGTGTTGCCACAATAAGTTTGATCACTGGAGAACAAGAAGTGAGTAACACCTCCAATAAATTAGAAGGTGATACTTTCTCAAGTTGGTACTTGAAGACCAGTCCACAAAATTTGCACTGAGAAAGTAGAATGTGCATGTTAAAAACAAAGATTTTAGGTCTTGGGTATGTTCATTCTTGCTAAATACAATGTATTTAATCCATTTCCTTGCATGTGCTTTGGCAGCCTTTTTTTTTTTTTTTTTTTTTTTTTTTTTTTTTTTTTTTTGCAAGTGGGTAACCACAAACAGTCTCTGTAGGTAATCTGATATTTTTCTAACACATACGTGTGTATATACATGCATAAAACTAGAATGCATATCTGACTCTAAAGGAGATCCATAAGCCACTGAAAGGATGTGTAGGGTGAGAAGATACTTGTTTACGTGCATTCTATATTGAATGCTGTAAGAATGTAATAAGAAGTGAATAGACTATGGATAGTGTACTGTGGATAAGGGTGTACCTATCTGGATCATTTTTACTTTTTGCATTAATGTTTGGTGACCATTTTCATAATTGCTCTTTCTTACGGCAATGTTAGTTTGTGCACGTAACGCAGCCTTAGAGAAAATTAAAACATTTCCTTCAAGGTGGTATTTTTATTTTTGTAAGTATATTATTTTATCCAAGCAGATCAAGGCACTTCTACCAGCATTATCCTTAAGAGCATTTCTCTTATAATGTTCTTTAATATGCACGGAGGAAAAAAGGGCATGAAAGCTACTACATGTACAGAACATTGTTGACAGTATAGTGCATGCATCAAAACCAACGATCAAATCAAAATAATTTTCGTTTAAGTGTCAACGCAAGTTGAGGATTATCAAGTGCGTCTTCCTTCTCTCCCTGATGACATTTACCTAAACCCTTTTATAATTGCGGATCTTAACGCACAGAAATCTGTCCGTTTGCCCATAAAGGAAAAAATTAAACGAATGTTTCCCAGTTTCTTTTAAGGGATATAATAATTTTTTCATTGTATTGGTATTTTTCATAACCAGCTGTATTTTTGAATGCCTCTGTCACTGTTTCCTACTTCTCTTTGCAACTAATGGTGGTTGCCATTAAAGTGTCAAATAGTTATTCTTTGCTTAATTCGTATTCCCATGAAGTTCAATGTTCTCTGAAATGCTGTAGATACCCAAAGTGTGGGCATCCACATTTATATCCAGGGTGCAAGTTTATAAAGGTTTAATTTGTGCTCCTAGCTGAAGATGTTGCATTTATTTTTATATGTATATTTTAGTCCTTGTATTTAACTGTGGTAACAAACAAATAAATGTTGTATAAGGAAACAGGTGGGTTTGGACCCACCTTATTTGTCTCTGACTCTTTGAGAGGAAAAGATTGACAGTGGCAAAACTTAGAAAAGCAGAAGCCAACAGCTGTGAACGTTTCCATTCTTACTTGGTCATTTGAGCTTAGTTGTACCAGTGCCTTTCAACAAAAGAGAAAAGTATAGCTGCATATGAACCGTGTGAGTCAATATATGATAGCTTTCTGAGCAGATTCTGAAGGGGTGAAAACATTCCTATTTTGTTAGTTTGTAAAGAGGAGATAATTTGTGTGTGTGTGTAATTCAAAATCTTTATCACTATGCTAGCCAATGATAAAGAAATGAACCACTGAGCTGTTGTGCTGAATAATTGTTTCAGGAGTGTCCCTTCTCCAGGAGCTGTTTGAAATAGCATGCACAGATGTACTTGTCCTTGGCTGGCGAGTCCAGGGAATGGTTTTTGCTGCACTGATTTTTAAAGCATTTTCTTGCATGCGTAACTGGTCAGCTTGTCCTCAGGGAGATGTTTCACAGCCATTCTGTGTGGCTGAAGGAGAAGTGCTGTTGCAATGGCTTTCTATTTGGGATTTGGTGGGAAGAGATGGGTGGTTTTGACCATTCATTTTAAAGGTGGTAAATTTGAATTGAGTAATTTTTCGTCTAGATACAGGTTATATCAAAGACTATTGAGCCTTCAGAGAAGCTGTATAAAACAAAATTCAGCAATACTGCAACAGGCGTTAAGAAAACAAAGTATAAGAACTTACGCTTCTTATTTGAGAACTTGATTAAAACCAATATTGTTTACCCTTTGCCTAAAAAGAAAAGATTTTTCGATTTGCCTGAGATTTATTTAATGTTCACTTCTTTTGTAATGTTTCAGTCTTCTTAGAATTACCTTGCATGCTTGGCAAAAAGATACATTTTGTGGTAGACCAGCTGAAGCCAAAAGAAAAAGTGCAGAAGGTTATGACATGGTTAAAAGCGAGAGCAAACGTCTTAGCTGCCTGTCTCCCTTTCTGCATGTTTACTTTAAGAACTGGTAATCATCCCATTGTATGGCCTTAGGTGGTGTGTTTGTGCAGCTAAGGGTGTGTGTTTTCTTTGTCAAACACAGTTTAGTGATTGTTCTTTAAATTATGTGGGTGCTATATTTGATTTGATCTGCTATTTGAATCATGCCACGGTCCAGCTGTAGGTGGTATTTTTGCCATTTCTCAAACTGGTGTATGGTACAATGTTTTTATCAGCTTATAGGGGAAAAAAAAAAGTTCCACGCTTTGGTCCATATGATTCCTATTCAGAAGCAGCTTATAAATCTGCTTGAACCTGTCATTTGGGAAACCTTACCTGGTATTGCTACCTCCTATATAGGTATGTATGTGTGTGTATAGATATGTATGTATATATATGCAATCTTTGCAAATGTGTCCCTTCATTCACCTGTTCATGAAATCCGAGTAGTTCACAACAGCTTCTCTCTTTTAAAGATTACTCCGAATTGGGAGAACTTCCACCGAGATCCCCATTGGAACCAGTGTGTGAAGATGGCCCCTTTGGGCCAGTGAAAGAAGAAAGGAAGCGCACACCTCGTGAGCTTCGCGAGTTGTGGAAGAAAGCCATTATTCAGCAGATACTCCTCCTCAGAATGGAGAAAGAAAACCAGAAGTTACAAGGTTGGTGAAGTTCTTGATTATACCCTACTGCAATACAAGTTCACTTTTTGGTTTGCTCTCTGGCCTTGGCATTGGATTGGACCAAGCCTTAACAAAACGTTTTAGGAACGTACGGGTAAATCAGCTTAGCAGCATCTCCCTCAGTTCTCATTAGCATAGGTTACAATTTGCCTTTTTTTTTAAATCACTTCACTATATTATTTGTTTACTTGATCTTAATTGGTACTCTTTTAGTTTTACCATGGCTGGGGTTTTTTAGTCTGGTGTCTAGAAGGTCTGACAAGGAATTCAGCACTGTCACTATCATGAACTGAATTCTTTTCTACATTCGCATCTGTAGGTCATTGTCTAATTATTGGTCATTGCAACGTTCTGTTTAGACAGTCTTGAAGTTGAATTGAAGTTCTTAAGGAGCTGGTTGTGGACTTCTGTGGGTGCCTGCCTGTGTACACACACTGTGCAAGCAAGGTTTGTATGGAGTGGTAATGACTTAAATCAGTCAGAAGGGTGATGAGAAGGAGCTTGAGAAACTGCAATTTGCAGTTGTTCTTAACCAAAATTTTTCTGTGGCTGAATGCGTAGCTGCAACAAATCCATTGTGGTGGCAATTTTTACACATAAAATACAGCTGATTAAGAATATACATTTTATTGTAGCAGCTGCATACAAAATTACAAGTGATTGCCCTTGAGAGCTGCCCCTTTGAAGGTATGAATGATGCGGACAGAAATGTTTATCTGGCTGATTTTAGATGTTTAGGAAGGGAGTAGGCACCTGGATCCTCAAGGGGTGAGGTACCTGGCATGAAAATGGCAATTCTTCTTTGCCTTTGTGTAAGTTTGAGGAAGGATTGTCTTGCAGGAAGAACAACTGTGTAGAGAAAAGGCCCAGCTCTCTGAAAAGGTCACTATACCAAACATGAAATCCTTCTTTAAACTTGGGTTGAGACTCCTGGCTGGAAGGAGAAAACACCTCTCTCGGACATTGGATATGGCCTCGCAGAACACCTAGCCTACTTCTAGGCTATTTGTTCCTAGTAGTGTGGCTGTCCTTTTTCATCCCGGATATCTGAAGAACATCTGATACCGGAATTTCCTAAGAACGCCACAGGTGATAGGCATGTTCCCAGCAAATGTACTTGTTAATCCAGTAAAATAAAATGTGGCTATGGATACCAAATATACAGAGTCCTTGGCTAAGGGGCCAGGACCATCTGGAGAAAGAGGTACCGAGAGCAGTGATTTATAAAATCCCTTCAGCTTAGAGCAGTGCTTTCATAAATGAGCTTCTATCAAGTTGTTCTGTAACTTGGAATTTTTATGGGACCTAGCATTTAGAAATAAATTTTCTCTATTTTGTATATTTATACACCTGATTTTTTTTTTTTTTAATTCTCTTGTATTCAAGCTACCTGAATCTACATCCTGCAGTCAAGTTTTTGGCAACTGCAGAACAACAATATCAATAAAAATTTTAACAAGTTTAGTCAGATGCTCCAATTGTTTTACCCAAAAGATACAATTGCAAAACTGTATTGCAAAAATCTAGAATCTTGTTTTAGCCAGTGGGAGTACAGGACAAGCTAATCCTTTGCAACTCTCAGAATTTGATAATCTAAAAAACCCTTTTTTGCAGCTACAAATCTCAGAACAAGATGAGCTTAGTTGTGTTGGCTATTTTAGTGTCATTATGGGCCATGTGAATTTCAGATGATTTTCAACTGTTTAGTAGATTTATATAAACAAGTTGAACATACAAACAGTGGAGAGTTAAACTAACAAAAGGTAATGTCCTTTTAACATAGATTGTCTCAAGTCTGTAGCCCATAGGAGTGTGATTTTGGTGAGTTCATACTGTGAAATCATCAAAAGTAGCAGTAGGCTTATGACGTATGGTAGAATGTCCTCAAAATGAGAGTACTTTGTTAGCATTACAGAAATGCATCATCACTACGATGAAATACTGTGCATATATCACATACTTAAAAATCATTGTGACTTCATGATACGCCATTTCATAAATGTGGTTCCAAATCGTGTCATTTGTAATTTGTTCAATGCGTGTTATTGAGGAGCAGTATTTTTAAATTTTTGTTTAAGACTATAGAACCTTGTCAGTCGTTTACGCCACTTGAACCCAGTGCTGCGCTCATTTTTGCGAGTAGAGAACTGCTGGCCATATCCCTGGACTCCTGTCCTGGAACTGGGTCTGTTGAGTCCTCAGCCACATTACAGCCCAGTTAAAAAATTGAAATACCCATTTTGTTAAATTCTCCATAGATTTACCGCAGTCTATTACACTCCTTAGTCTTCTCGTTGTACCTTCGTCTCAGTTTCCTTATAGCATTTTCTTTGAGCATCTTGTGCCTTTTAAGAATAGATGTCTGACATCTCATCTGCGCTGCACCCTTTTTCTCCACCTGAGCTGAAAGATCTCTTCTGTTTTTTCAGTCTCGTGACCTCCACGAATTCATCCACTGTCCCAAAAAGTGCTTTATTATTTAGTTAATATAAGTGCCATTAATAAACCCTTTTGCCAGGTTTTTTCTAGCACTAAAAATCTGTAGAAACAAACCGTAAAAGCTTTGCCAGGAGTCCCTTTGAAATTCTCATTCCACTTCTAAAGTTTGGAATTAATGCTCAGCTTCAGAATTAATTTTCATTTTTTGCCATGGTTCTTTGATGCTTTCCCAACTATTGATTAATTCTTTTTTTTTAATCCCTTATAGAAAGATTTGAAAGAGCACAATATTCTTATAAATTGTAATCTGAGAAAATCACCAATACTACAATGCATCTTTGCTCCAGGAGGTCTGATGATCTAAATGTCTTATGAAAGACTGAGTTATGCATTGACCCTTGTTCTGATTTCTTTAGTGGAGCCTTTAAGAGAGCCTTATGCATATATAGTGTTTATGGTCCTATTTGTGTTCAAGGTTCTGAAAGTTTCTATACCTGAACTTTTTTTTTTATGTGGTCTATAAAAACAGCTGTGTGAATGATCACCTTTCAAGTAGTTCTTTTATTTTGTCATTACTATTATGGAGCTGCATGCCATAAGAAATACTGGGTTTGTATTTTATTTGGTGTAGGTCTTCTGCACTAATTTTTTTTAAGAGCTGGGAAATTGAAAAATCCTGTTAGGAAAACCTTGTGTTTATTTCATTAGCCATTATCTCTCATGTTTCTTCAGATTTAAGAGTTGACTAGCTGTAAGAACTTAATTTAACAGGCCAAGCACATTTAGTATTGCATATAATATCTTAAAAAAAAAAGAACAAAAAACAATCAACCAAAAAAAAACCAACCCCAAAATAACAACAACCAAAGCACACCACAATCACATGAGTATAGACGTAATGTTTCAGAATTCATTGGGCTCAATTTAGGTGTATGGCAGAATGAAGTTTTAAGTTCAATTAATCCTTTTTACAAATAGTAAGCAATATTAACTGGTGCGTTCATGATATCACTTCCTAGCTTCAGAAAACAATTTGCAGAACAGACGTCTGAAACTTGACTATGAAGAAATCACACCATGCTTAAAAGATGTAACTTTGATTTGGGAAAAAATGTTGAGTACACCTGGAAGGTCAAAGATTAAATTTGATGTGGAAAAAATACACTCTGCTGTTGGGCAAGGTAAGCACAGTTTGTTATTTTGAGTTGTTGAAATGCATGTAAATTGTATTAGAAAAGGAATAGGGTGACCTGTTAACCACTCCTTATAACCAGATTCTCACTAGAGCTGTTTCTCAGGTTGCTGACTAAACAAGTAACAATGTTCTGTATCTTCATGGCTACGCATATGCAATTAACAGTCCCTTTTAGTGATAGTTGCAATTGTATTACTGGAATTATAGTACTTGATATTCATTTTTGAATAATATTTGTCTGTACAGGAGTTGTACAGTACTTCAGTGTATTACAATTGTTGCAGTCCGGTTTTATAAATTAAAAGCCTGGATCGTGCCAAAGAAATGACTGTGTAAATAATGGAAGAAACTGTCAGCACTATCATCTGGAAATTCTCAGTTCCAGCCTGGGCAGTATGTGTGTATATAAACAGTATACATAGATATCTTTGTAGAACTGCCTTTTTTCTGAGTTCAACAACGCATTGTACCTGCAAACACCATTTACAGTCTTCCTTACAACTGCCCTCCCTCCCCTGCATCAAAAGGAATGTAGCCTAAGGATGTTTTTTAATTGTTCTAAGAAATTGGGTTATTACCCAATGTTATTTGTGCCATGGTTGGACCCAAAGGCCTTATGCTGAGTGTTGTATGTAGCCAACGCTGAAGATGGCTACTCCAAGGAGCTTTTTATAGTTCTATACAAAGATTTCCAATGTGTAAAGGAAGTGTAAAGAATTCACCACTAGCAGAAGTTTAATATTTTAAATATTGCACCTCTCTATATGTGATTATTCAAGCAAATTAAACCAAATTGTCCGTTTAAGATGACTAGGTAAGTCTAGATTTCTAACATTATTAAATTACCTAAGCACAAATCTCTGCAGAGTAAGGGAAGATCACTATAACAGGTTTCCTTCCATTCGTGTAGGTAGAGTGCTCTGTCCAGTCAATATCTGAGCATGAGAAAAAGTTGGTTTCTGTTGATAGTCCAGTGATGCTGGCCTGTGTTAGACTTCAAAATAAAGCTTAAAAACTTGCAGTGATGCAAAATAAGTAAATAAATAAATAAAGCTCTGCTTAGTGGATTGCTAATAAGAAGCACATACAAGTAGCCAGTAGATGGGGAAATCATCCCTAGCTCTTGATGCTATTATGCTCTGCTCTGTAGAGCCCAATTGCGTCAGAGTTCTTAGAGTGGAGAGATGTCAAATCTCATATGAAAAATGCATTTAAATTGACTTTAGTTAAGTTCTAGCTTAGACCAAAACCATTACAATGAACTTGAGTAAGCAAGGCAAACAGGTAAGAAATGCAGGTTTCAATAAGCATGGGGCTTAAATTAGGATAACAAATATATAGTGTTGACCTATAGTGTACACTGTAATAGCTATTTAAATATAGTACATCTTTCATTCAGGAAGTGGTAAACTAAATACCTTATTTTACATGTGCAATGCAGCATACAGAGATAAACTTAATATTGGACTACTTCCTTAAAGGGAATTTTAATTCATTTGTGATTTTGCAGCTGTAAATGTGCATTATTAAGCCAGTTCTACCCTATGTGACACATTCAACCTCGCTGAAGCTAATGGGATTTTGGATGTGTATCTGAAGAGGAGAACCTGGCTCATTCAGTGTCTGAAACAACACTTTCCCTCCCTGTTTCATGTTGGAGACTTTTGCGATAACCGTTTAAGTTCCCTAAAGTAATTTACAGAAACATTCTCTAAACACATTTGTGATATGGATTCAAATATTACACATTTCCACTAGCATTTCATTTTCAAGCAATTGTCTCTGGATTATGATAGTGTAGTAAAAGTAAGTATTGCAGAGATAAATTCATATCCTTTTGTGCTTATATGAGAAAAGTCAGTGAAATTGCTCTAATACATTCTGATATCTTTCCACATAAGTTGTAGGCTTGAGTTAATTTTGATTTCTCCTATTGTTGTTGTCATCCATATGTTACATATATACCAAAAGAAAAAAGCAGTCCAAAAAACTTTAAGCCATAAGTTACTTCAAACTGTAATACCTGGTTCCAGTAAGTCATGGATTAGATAGAATATTTTCCCAAAGAATAGTGTATTGATTTCTTGTGTAGATAATTTAATAGTGCCAGTTTTGTGCCGAATAAAGTATGCATGTAACAATAACTTCTCTGTTACTTTCAGCGCTTTGCATATAGATACAAACAAAGGCTACCATTACCTATGTGAAATAGTTAAGTCACGTCATCCCTTTCTATAGAGAAAGAAATTAAAGCTTTAAAGCATTTTTCCGTGTAGCAGTCCTTCAGCAAACCAATAGCAAAACTAGAAATACAGTACTTGCTTTCTGATTACCTGCCTGCTGTTGTAGTCTCTAGATACATCTTGTTTAGATCACATCTTGTTTATACTGTGTGTGTGCACCCTACCTTCCTAAAACTTACTCCTAACAACAGTGTCAGTGCTATGTCAGTGAAAAATGTTAAATAGTTCTATTGCAGCGCTTTATTGTAACAGTGTCAGTGAAAAATGTGAAATAGTTCTATTGCAGCGCTTTATTGTGTACTTTACATGGAAAAATGGGAAATAATCACATAACTTTTCAGAGACAAGTAATGCAATTTTTGCTGCCTCTTCTAGTACTTCTCAGACTGGATGTAAGTGGGAACCTTAGCTCACCCAATTTCTATCTTAAATCTCTCCTGTTAAGATGCTGATGTCTTTTATTGGTTGAGGAAGTGTAAGCACTGTAGTTTGATCTGCTTCTATGGTCTACTGGAGATAGTGGATATGGATCTAGCAGATAGGGATCTGCTTGCATATCTAGCAGATATGGATCTTCAGTTCCTCAATCCTGTTAGCTCAACTATAGCTGAACCCTCAGTATGAGTACAAATTATTGTTTTAATGACTGACTTCTCTCAGGAGTACCACGTCACCACCGTGGGGAGATCTGGAAGTTTCTAGCAGAGCAATACCATCTTAAACATCAGTTTCCAAGTAAACAACAACCAAAGGACACACCTTATAAAGAGCTCCTAAAACAACTAACTTCCCAGCAACATGCAATACTTATTGACTTAGGTAAGTACGGTAGTAGTCTGAAATTGAAAATAAAGGGGTTTTGATCTCTGGAAGAGAATTAAATAAAAGAAGGTAACACACAAAAAGCCCCTCACCATTTAATAATAGGTTGTTTGTAAGAACCGCTTTTAATCTGGTATAAGTGAAAACTACTACTTGACACTATAAGAAAATGCAAAATCTGAATTTCAAGCACAGAGTTCCGTTGCAACATGTGGCAATAAGAGATTGCTAGATGGAATTGTAATGAATCTGTATTTCAGATATTGACAGTGAATTCCACAGGCCCGTGGAAGACAAATGGTCAAGAAAGGAAGTCAATATTTAAGTGCAGGCTGTTGAATAACGTGTGCTATTCCTTCGTGCTGTCCAGTGTTTGCTGTCTCTGTTAAACACTATTACTCGAAATAATGAGGTTTTGCTTTTTGCTTTTTTGTTTGTTTGTTTATTTGTTTTAAATGGGTAGTTGCTAGCAGTTGGTAATTTTACTTGTATTAAAACAATTATGAAAGAAGCTCTTTTTAATAATTAAAAAAGGCTCTTTTTAATACAGGTTATTCACATCTAATTCATTGTCTAAATATAAGCAATAGCTGGCTCCTGATTTAGGGACAGTGAATTGGTCTGTGGAGGCACATACACTATTGGAGTTCGGTAGAGAGAGGTTAGGAACCGAGGCTCTTAAATTTGAAGTGACTGGTGGGTGAGCTTCAGGCAGGCTTTTGGTCTTCTTGAGCAGAGTTTTCCATTTTCCTTCACATTTATTATTCAGAGTGCAAAAAGTTTTTCTAGTATTAGACAGAGACATGAGAAAGGAAATCTAAATGGCATGAAACAATCGTTTTAGGGTAGAAACAGAAGAGATTGCTCCAGTTAATTGTAAAAGAGCAGTCTTCATATAGCTCAAAACAACTGTGCCATTCTTAACCCTTCCTTTTGCTTTTCCTGATCCTCTTCCTTTATCACTTCTAGTTTGCTTGTGTGAGATTGTCTTGCACTGATTGACTTTTGCCACTGCTAGACTAAGATGGTGACAAAACCCAAGGACATTTAACAAGATGAAAAGTCAGTATGCTCTTTAAGATGTGGATCAGTATTAAACATTGTTCCTGTCTTTGGTTGCTGCTGCTCCCAGATGGTTTTGATAAGGTCTTTGCTAGCAAGTACCTACCGGTCAAGTCAGCATACCTGCTGTTGATACCCCTGACGATGAACGTTGGGATTCTGTTGCACTGAAGTGCCTCAGTGAGAGGTGAATAGTTTTGTGCCGGACTAGCGAATTGAAGACCTTCAGCAGAGGAGAGAGGGGTGTGACAGCTCCTGGATGGTAGGGAGCACCAGTCAGTCTGGGTTTGGTTGGCTCACCCAGCAGACGGGGGCTTGCTGGCTCAGCAAGCTGGTCATATTTTCTGCCTGGTTCTGCACACGAATACTTTCTCATCTTAGCCATGTGCTCTGCTTGTAGAAACAAATCACTGCATGTGTTGGCAAATTGGTAACTTCATGGTGGTTTTCATGCAAAGCATTGTTTTTGCCAGGGAGCTATTTGCTAGTCCATTAGCTGAGGGAAGGATTGGGCCCTATTATTTCGGTAAGATGAAACTAGGAAGCTGAAGACTTCCTCATTTCCTAGTCATTCACATTGAAATAGAGTAGTGTTGCACAGTAAGAGACGGCATAACTGGATAGGCAGCTAGAAGGAATTTGCATGTTCTGACTTGTGTTCCTTCAGGCTATCAGAAGTATTTTCTCTTAAATCTTTAAGAATCCTTCTGAAAGCATGCACTTCTCCCTTGAGAGAAAAACCTATATTCTTGCAACATGTTGTTATAATATTTAAAAAGCTTTCCCGAATTAAGCTAAAGAGGTCTTGCTAACACCGGATGAGCCACAGCCATAGTAGCATTGCTCAGGCTTGAATCAATGCATCTTCAGCAAAAATAGTGCTTCCTGAGAACGAGGACAGCAGTGTGCATCTAGATGCAGAGGTGAAGTACAGCAGCCACTTTCCTGGCCCAGTTTACGTATCACAGTGCTATTTAATACATGGACAAGAACAAAGCCGCAATTCCCTGAAGGCTTTTCGGTGTATTTCCTTTTGTGGCCCCGCCTGCACGACCACTGCAGTCACGGGGGATTTCAGGTCATGAACACCAAAGTCATGTTCAGTAAATGAGTTCTTCTCTCAATAAGGTAGGGTAGACTGACTTCCAGATGTTGGCAGTGTAGGCAACCACTGTACTCATCACTGAGTGTTTTCTGAACACATTAGAAAATTATGTTTTGTTTTATTACATTTCAAAAATAAAGTAGTAGGTCCTTAGTTTCTCATTCTGGCGCTCTTGAGGTATCACAGTTCATTTAGAGTCTCTTTTCAGCAGGGCCAGGAGTTGTTTTCTCCTCAGTAAAAGCTCAAATTCTTAGTTAAATCATTACCAGGGCACTCAAACAAATCAGCTTGAGTTTAGCAGTTCTGCTCCTCCTCCATTTATTGTTTTTTAGAACTTCTTTGCATTTTTATTCTTGTTCAACTTGTAACTTTTCTTCATGACTTTCGTGAAAGGAGCCTTGCTGTGTGAGTGACGAGGTGGTGCAGGTCTGCCTTTAGACTGTGCTGTAATAACTTGTCATTCAGGCAGAGGATTCCTTTGCAAAGGAACACAAGCTGCTTCTCATTTGGAAGCTAGAAATATTTCTTCTGTAATGTTCAACTCTGTGACAGCCTGGCCAGGGGAGACCTGCTCAGGAACTGAATGCCAGTGTCCCATGTGACCGGCTAGAGCAGCTACCAGATGGCTGAAGGACTCTGCCCCGGGCTTTGTCTTCTTGAAACAAGAGCTCCGATATTATCTGGCAGCAGAGTGGCATTCCAGAAGCTAAAGGGTGGGGTGGTATTTAACAAGTGGGCAACTGAAAAGCAAACTCCACTTAATACTAGAACAAAAGAAGGATTCAAATTTCTTCTCCGTTTAGGTGTTTCACAGAGGAAATCTGATAGGTGGAGATTTCTTTTCCTAGAAATAAAAATGTTGCCTTTTGGAAAAGTTTTAGAAAAAAATTTTGTAGAAGTGAAGCCTTTCATGTCTCTGTTCGCAGAATCACAGAGTGGTTGAGGTTGGAAGGGGAGCTCTTAGATCATCTAGTCCGACCCCTCTGCTCGAAACAGGGTCACATAAAGCAGGTTGCCCAGGACTATGTTCGCTCAGATTTTGAATGTGTCCGTAGATGGAGGCTCTGCAACCTCTCTGGGCAGCCTCTGGCGGTGTCTGGCCACCCTTACAATAAAAAAAAAGATTTTTTTCTTACGTTAGGTGGAATTTCCTGTATTTCAATTTGTGCCCATTGCCTCTTGCCCTGTCAGTGGGCACTACTGAGAAGAGCCTGACTCCCTCCTCTTCATTCCCTCCCACTGGCTATTTGTACACGTTGATTAGATCCCTCTGAGCCTTTTGTTCTCCAGGCTGAACAGTTCCAGGCCTCTAAGCCTTTCTTCATAGGAGAGATGCTACAGTCCCTTCATCATCTTCATGGCCGTTTTCTGGACTCTGCAGTATGTCCATATCTCTCTTGTACTGGGAAGCCCAGAACTGGACGCAGCACTGCAGGTGTGGCCTCACCAGTACTGAGTAGAGGGGAAGGATCACCTCCCTCAACTTGCTGGCAATGCTCTGCCTAGTGCAGCCCAGGATACCATTAGCCGCCTTTGCTGCAAGGGCACATTGCTGGCTCCCATTCAACTTTGTGACACCAGGACCCCCACGTCCTTTTGTGGCAAGCTGCTTTCCAGCTGGGTGGCCCCCAGCATGTACTGGTGCATGGGTTTGTTCCTTTCCAAGTGCAGGATTTTTCCACTTCCCTTTGTTGCACTTCATGAAGTTCCTGTCAGCCCATTTCTCCAGCCTGTTGAGGTCCCTCACAACAGCAGCATAACCCTCTGATGTATCTGCCACTCCTGCCAGCTTTGTATCATCTGCAAACTTACTGAGGGTGCACTCATCTTCCAGGTTAATGACCCTCTCTAATCAGGGATCAGCAAGAACAAAGGATACAGGCACCTTGTCATCAAGGGCAGCTGACAAGGGTTGGTTAGAAGCTGCCAGGGCTACCCGTACCACAGCCTCAGCCGTACCTGCCAGCAGCAGTACCTTCGGGTTCCCAGGGGTCCCGTGGCAATCCTGGACATAATATCCAGATGCTCCAGAGCTCAGAGAAGCAAAGCCCAGAAACTGCTGCACAAAGTGCTGTGTCTGTTGGGTGCCTCTGTTAGTTGCACTCTCATATAATACATATATAGCATATATCATAGCACATACATAGCTACACAATTCTTGATATTGTAAGGGCTACAGAAAAAAAGACAAATTGAGTTTTTACTCCCTGAGTAAATATTGTGGGTCAAACTGACTAGTTTGCAACTGCCTGCTTGCATTGGTTTGGTTTAAGGACATGTAGGTCCCAACTCTGTAGAAGTTTACAGATAAGCCAGTCTGGGTTGGAAGTCATCATCTTGTTCTAGAACTGAAGCATTGGAAATGGCTTAGTTGTGCTCCTACAGCTCTGCAATTAGTATAGTTTACTATAGGCTGGGATTTGAAGAGGTGTGGGGAATAGATCCAGAGCCTGTTGCTACCAAGAGAAAGTTTTGCTCCAACAACTGACTGACTCTCCGTGCACTTGTCATTTGTGCTGGTGCTCATGGGGTGCCTCCTGGAGCTGATGCAGCTGAGCAACAGGGCAGAACAACTAACCCCATGTAAAAGGAGATTTTTCTGCTAGGTTAGTGAACTGGATCAGGTCACGGAAGAGTGAGCTTCACGCTGCAGGAAAGAAGGAAGGACCCATAAGACTGTGAGGGACCAAGGCAAGGAGGGAGGTGACAAGAGACACGTTTACTGGGGGAAAAAAAAAAAAAAGACAAGTAGAAAAGAGAAGGGGAGGGTGCCAGCCCAGAGGGCTTGGATGTTCTAAGTCTGTGCCCGGATCCTAATAGTTGTCTAAAAGCTAACACTTTTTAATCAAGAAAAGAGGACTAGGTGACTCATTGAGCCACTGTATTGAATCTCCCACTGTTATAACCAGCCCCTATAAGCCCTTTAACAAGCTGATCAAGTGCCAGTCTTAAGAACCAGTTACTCAGCTATTCCAAACAACAGATTGTCCCCATCCCCCTGACAATTTCTAAATGAACTTTACAACTACTGTAACAAAACAGTAGTAGAGCGTAAGAGTTATCGTTAATTTTCTTATGGTCTTTCTGTGAGTTGACTCAGAATCTACCTTCCAAAAGAACCTACCTTTTTGAAAGACTCTTTAATTTGAAAACATGCAAGGGTTGGTCGTGTTTGGGTTTTTTTTTTTTTAGTTGAAGTTGCTAACTTCAGCTGTTTTCACAGGGCGCACATTTCCAACGCATCCGTACTTCTCGGCACAGCTGGGAGCTGGGCAGCTGTCACTCTACAATATTTTGAAGGCCTATTCGCTTCTGGACCAGGAAGTAGGTTATTGCCAGGGCCTTAGTTTTGTAGCAGGAGTTTTACTACTTCATATGAGTGAAGAAGATGCTTTTAAAATGCTGAAGTTTCTCATGTTTGACGTGGGCCTGAGAAAACAATATCGTCCTGACATGACAATTTTACAGGTATGATTTAAATTTTTCTAATAAAAGGATGCTAATGGTAAATCATAATAATGCAATTTAGATAGCATTGTCAAAATCTGGACTTGAACTTAAATTCAGTTCTCAAAACCAGGGAAAACTATGAAAACCATAAATAGGAAGGATTCTGTTACGTGTTGTATGAGGTTCAAATGCCCCTGCAAATGGGCTTGTCATAGGCTCACAGGTGACCTGTCCTGGTCACCTGTCGTTTAGATGGCTTCTGAGTATTTCTTTTCTTCACACAATTCCATCCAAACATCAGTTAACAAATATCTTTCACTTACTAATAAAAGTGTGAACCATGGACTTTGCTACTGTGAGTGTCAAAACATGTTTACCTTTAGTCTCTTTGTTCTTATTCTGTGCAGATCCAGATGTATCAACTGTCTCGGCTTCTTCATGACTACCATCGAGATCTCTATAACCACCTAGAGGAACATGAGATTGGCCCCAGCCTCTATGCTGCTCCCTGGTTTCTCACCATGTTTGCTTCACAGTTTCCCCTCGGATTTGTAGCCAGAGTGTTTGGTAATTCTTCATAAAACTTCTGTCTGTTCTTTTTGAGGTCTTATATTTGGAATCCTGTTTTTAGGAACAGCATTATTATCCAATCTGTTTCAGACACTCAGGAGAAGTATTTTACTTATGTCCTGGTTCCGGCAGGGATGGGGTTAATCTCCCCAGGAGCCGGCAGGGGGCGGGTATTCCATACCACCTGAGCCATGCCCGGGCTATAAGAGGCGCTAGGCGGGGCGAGGAGAGCAGTCGCCACTTGGGGGTGGGCTGCGGCGGTGCACATCGCGGCGGTACTGTAATCGCGTTTTCATCTTTTCCTTTGCTGTTCTGTTAAATTGCATTCTTTTAACCCACGAGTTTTGCCCTGACGATTCCTTTTTCCACGGCTGTGGGAGTTGCGTGAGCGACTGTGTGGTTCTTTGTTGCTGGCTGAGGCCAAACCACGGCAGGGGGCTCCTGCCTGCGGTGCGGGGGCGGTTTCCCGGGACTCATCGGTGCAGGGGGAGCTGGAGGGTACCGCGCGCTGCCGCCGCTCAGACCCGCGCAGCCGCTCCGCGACCCCGAGCTGCAACACCTTTTCATCCTCATTGTTACCTTTTCCCACCCTGTAACTAGTTGTAGAGAGGATGTAAAATTTGATGCCATGAAGGCATGGTGTTATGACAATGGCACTTCAGCACCGACAATTAGTTAGTTTCAAGCTGAAGAGAGATGTAGCAAAGGCATCATCTGAGAAATATATCCATTTACTCCACTATCATTGTCTCCAACAGTGTCAGCAGAAAATTATTTTGAGGATTATGTTTTTAAAACACACAGAGATGGCCTTTACAGTTTAATCATGGATTTACCCTGCGGAAACATGGGGCCTTTAAACTAGTGTTTCTTATCCTTACAATTTTAGCCTGACTCATAATCTCACTTTCCAAAAATGTTTGGAAGCATGTGGAATTTAGGCTCTGAAGTAATTTCTGTTACCAGTTTTTAGAATCTACAGAAATAAAGTTCTCTTTTTAAATTAAATTCCAATTAAGAATTTACATTGATGCTATCTTACAGATGTATATTTCATAGATTAATTGTTTGGAAAAGATACTTTATTTCCTTTTCAGTTGTTTATTTTTCAATTTCACTGTGTGGTACTGGATTGTCCATGATGAGCAGGGCAGGTTGGAGCTTTCCCCCCCATTCCTATCTTCTAGTGAGAACCTACTTTCATTTTCCTTAGTCGGTCTCACTTAAGAGATGTAATGAAGCAGTTCTTTATTAGGATATTAATATTGACACTTTCCTGACTTAAAAAATTATGGTCTTATCTACCACAATAGCAAATAATGAATATAGATTCCAAGAAGAACCAGCAAGAATCCTGTCCTGTTTCTGTTTAAGGACATGCCAAAAGTAGTGCTAGAAAAAAGTGTGGTGAAAAGGACAGTGTATAGCTAAGTAGAACTACATGTCTTGTGATTAGCATCTTAACTCCAGGGAAAACAGCATTTTTATTTTTTTTTCCTGGAACAGTTCAAAGTAGGCTAATGTACATCGACAAGTATCTAGCTGACAGTAATAGCATGTAGGAATTAAATGAATTACTGTATGCAAGTGTCATATACTGAGTTTACAATCAGTTCATTTTTCAATTATTCTTAATCATTCATAGTATTGTACATAAGAAGAGTCTTTGAGTTGGACCGCAGTGAGAGTATAAAAGTGCATTGTGTATCCTGTATATTTGGATTTCTGCCTTAATACACGGATTAGTATTTTATCTGTCATTGGAGGATTTTAGGGCTTTAGAAAGCAAAGATTTTACATTAGAATAGAAGGCATAAACACATGATCTTGACAGGACTGATTTTAGGTCAAGAACAGAAAAGCATATGTGACTGAAACTGTCACCTCTTAAAAATCTCTGATGTTTTTTAGAGAGAAAATCCAACGTGACCAACACTTGCGGTTTTTAATGTTTTAGAGTATTTAGTGATTTCCTTAAAACAGTGTTTAGTGGAACTATGTTAGTCGAGAACGTTGGACATTGTTTTACATTAGAAACTAAAATCTCATCTTCCCCCCATGCTAAAGACTCTGAAACACAACTATAAACCTAAAAAAGGTCAGAGCTGTCACTTTGCTAGTCACTGTCGTTAGCATAGCAGGTTAGGATCCGACCAGTTCTGACCCATGTGTTCACACACTTCTGCAGACTCTATGTACGTTTTCATTGCTCACTTATTAGAACCCCTGGCATGAAAGAATGTTGCCTTTTAATGTTGAAGTAACTCATTGATAGGTTACTAGTGTAAGATTGCACTGCTGTGTTCTAACACGGTATCTCTGAACCCTTGATGTTTGAAGCCCCACTGCTATTTAATAATGTCATTGTTATGGGCCATTTCCTTTAGATTTCCATAGAGTGTACTTTTTGCAAGCTTCTTACAAGCAATATGTAAAGAAGTGGGCTAGAAAGAGGTTAACTCAAAGACTGTTTTATGAGTCAAACAGCAAAGCTCCTTTTGACTTTATAGTTGTCTGTCTAAACTTTCAACTCTTCTGAGCAGGATCTAATAAAAGCACAGTGTTAAAAAAGATGTGTTCTTTAATACCTCTATTTACTTATTAATGGTGAAGACTTGATAGGATAGTCTTTATTTTGTTTCAAGATTGTAGATAAAACTTGATTCTTTTTTTTTTTAATTCTGTAGGCTGCCAGTCATGCTGACATTAATTTGGGTACCTTTGCTGTACTGTCGTTGGCTGGCAGCCCACTTAACGGGAAGCATGGGGAGCGGATAACAAACAGGTCTTTGTTAAGTGCTTGCTATTTTAAATGAGAGAGGGATTTCAGCGTATATTACCAGCTCAGCTCATACAGACATTTGTGAACAACTTACAGGTCACCTTGAGTTAATCTACGTGTCTTTATGGGGCAGGTGCTGAATCATAAATATGCATTATTTTCAGCTGGGTTCTTTTCACTTCGTGTTTCCTAGCTGTTCTTCAGCATTCCCTGTCCTAATAAATGCTTTCCCTATAAAGCATTTTCCCATAGTTTTCAGTTTCAGTAGAGAATTGAGGCAGATGCCTTCTCTGTTACCACTTTTCAATCATTGCTGCTTTTAGACGTCACATTGAATCAGTGGAAAAATTGTACACCACTTTTAGGACAAATGGTGGCAAAGTGCAAGGTTTATGGTTAGTTATTACTTGTGCTTTTCTTTCTCAGAGAGAGAGAGAGAAGTGAAATGAGTTATGGCTTCAACATTATAGGCAAGAGAGTGCAAGGGGAATTTCATTCTGATACAAATTTGGAAAGAGAGGTTGCTTTTACTAAAAAAGGCAGTTAGCCAGTGTTTTCATGTGTTCTTTACTACATCAGAGATACCTGTGGTTTTGCTAGTAGTTGTTTCCCTTATTGTGTGGTGTATTTCTCTTCTTTCTCTCTTTATTTTTCTTTCTTTCTTTTTTTTTTTTTTGTCATCATTTTTGTCACATACTATTTATTTGGTGTCATTGTGCTTCTTTGTAAGTGATTGTGACTTCATTCACAGCCTTGAATACAAAGAAGGGAAAGAACACAAGAGAAGCCCTTTAAAAATAAAAATATATTTAGAAAGTGTGGAATAAAACCACAGTATCTTCTCTTCCTTTTCCACCTCCATCAGTATTCTTTCATGTGTTAGATGCTTTTGCCTGTAGCGAGTCCTTCAACAAAAGCAGGAGCAGATTCTGAGTTATAGTAGCAGGAAAGTCAAATGCAGGGCAATGCTGTTTATACTGTGGACAGATGGGTTTGTGAAGATGGGTTTCTTGTCTGATGCTTTCATTGCAGTTTTCTGTTTCTTTCCTCTATAAAGACATAGGCAATTTGTAAAGGAAAAGAAAAGAAAGGAAGTTGCATTGAAAGGTCACTATATACTGTGGTTTCAGTGTGCTTGAATGTATGCCAGGTGCTGTCATTGCAGGGCCACCTGCAATATTAACGCTTAAGCTGTATTACTAAGATTTCAAGGTACTTATTAATGTAGTTATTAGAATATTAACATAAGTGGTTGAGACACATACTAAAAATAAGCACATGCACATGAACTTGAGGCTGCTGGAAAGTGTGCATTTAGCCTCATGCTCAATGTTGTATTAACTGAGATTTTGTAGCTTTCTCCACCAGATGAAAAAAGAACAGAATGTTAGATCTTCGGTTGTGTCTTCAGGTGTAGTTTTTCTCTGTAGTATTAGGATTTTTAAATGGCATTGGGATTAGAATTTTATTCAGATTCTCATGAACATCTCAAAAGAAAAAGGCCCACAAAACCATTACATGCACAAAAAAGTGGCAACACTGGCAAGCTTGACTACCTGTTGTATTGTGTACTTAGTTTAAATTTGAATTGTAATTTTTGGATGAAAACTCACTAAACAAATTAATAATTGATTATGTTGGTCAAGTGTGCTTTTCACAGTAATAATATTGATCCTACAAAACTCTAAAGCCGTAGCCACGTAACAAAAGCACATGTCTGGCAAAGTATATCTAGCCTCCATATTGCTCCTATGAGTTGTTGTCGTCCTTGGACATTTTACTGTTTTAATATTCTTGTCAAAAGATGTGCTTCCTTGATGTACTCTGTTTTTTCTTTGTTTTCACAGACATGCTCTTTCTTCAAGGTTCAGAGGCTATATTTAAAGTGGCTTTAAGCCTTTTGGGAAGCCACAAGCCCTTGATTCTGCAGCATGAAAACCTAGAAACTATTGTTGATTTTATTAAAAGCACTCTCCCCAACTTGGGTTTGGTACAGATGGAGAAGACCATTAGTCAGGTATGAAATAATTGGAACATGAGTCGTATGCAAAGGAATGCTCTTTTTAACAGGTTCTTGACAGAAAAACCACAATGGTGTATTGTGTTACTTCAAGCTGAGAATTGTTATTGAACTTATGAAGATGTTGAAAACTTTTGGAAGCGTATGACTTGTATAGTACCTCTGTATTCATACATCTACATGTTGGTTATGGTCACTTTATGAAGCCTTTAATGAAAATCAGTTTCCTTTGTTTCTGAAGTGGGCAACATGGTTACAGGCAGCAATATTACAGCTCATATACAGTGCATTCCACAAAAAAGCAGCAAGGTGGGCTTAAAAGCCTTCTGAGTTTTCCTGTCTCCAAAGAATCTTGCTCTCCAAGTCTCATTTCAGAAGCAAAATTTGACTTACAAGAGCCTCACAAATGTTGACCTTACTTAATGAAGTTAGAAGCCTCCCTGTGTTGACTTTGTCTATACTGGCTTTTATGGTGCCGGTTCAGTACGTTACAACAGTGCCTTTGTATTTCTGCCAGGAGTACGTGGGGCAGAGCAGTCTCTTGCAGTGAGCAGTGACTCTAGGCAGCAAAAACTGGGAGTCCTTGATACACGTTTTTTAAATGGCAGATAAGGAAAACGATGCCATGTTGCTAAGCTAGCAGAAGGCTCCAGACGATAACTATGGAATTTGAAAACATCACAAATGATTTTGGTTAAGGCTTGCCTGTTTAGAAACCCTAACTGTTACACTTGACATCTAATTTGCAGCCGGCAAAGAGAAGACAGGTTTTAGGCTGTTTTTTCTGAAGGCCTGTTGTGGCCCAAAATGTGAGTGGTGTACTGCAAATGCCTGCCACTCGCCAAGGGCTGCGGGAGATCTGCGGAGCCTGTGGCTTGGTAAAGAACGCAGGCAGCGGCGCAGCACGCTGCAGAATGCTTGCGAGGGGCTCCCTTCCCATCCCGGACAGCAAAGCTCCCAGGGCACATGTGCTCGAATCAGGATCAGAAAAATTGCTTCTGGTGCTTTAGTGTCAAAGGAAGGAGGGGAGAGTGAGAAAGCCTGTGCGAGGGGAAGGAAAGCAAGCGATTTCTAGGGGGCAAAGGGGGATCATATGTTACCTGCCAGGCTACCTGCAGAAAACCATTGGCTTTGAGCAGGAGGGAGAGATACTCTGTTTGGGGAGCTCTGAATTTAAAGTGGGCAGGTAGAAGTGAGTGGAAGGGAGAGCAGTTCCCCGGCTTTGATCAGGGCTGCCTTTGAAGTGAGCAGCTGTTTGACCGGCCCTGCTGTCCACACGCAGCTCCTGGGCTAATCCCCATCCTCCTCACGCCTGCTGCAGCGTGGCCTTCGGTTTACATGCCCTAACGTGCCTTCGGTTAGTGAGTTCTCAAGTCAAGGTTTTGGTTTGCCTTGTGTTTCCCCCCTTTCAGATTTGGTACTCTGGGTATGACAGCAGGGATTTCCCTCCCTTCTTGAGAGCACAGAGGCTGGAAGTGGCAGAGGTCTTGAGAGGAACTGACATTCTGCCCTGCCTGAACTGCAGCATTTGTTTTAATGAAATTTCAGCCATGTGTGTTCTCTAGAGATGCTCAGGTCCACAGAAAATGAGAGTTCCATAAGTGTAACCAAACTCAAATTAAAATTGAATTTCAGCCCTCTGTAGTTAGGTGCTCAGTATGTGTGTTTTGAGAGGATTTTTTTATAGTGTATCTAACAGGTGTCAAAAACATTTCATAAACTGATGTTTTCTTTAACTGTAACCAAGTTAAACTTGTAGACAAAGCAGATAAATAAAATAGGAAATAATTATTGTTATTTCAACAGGTATTTAAGATAGGATTTGATATTTGACTTATTTCCAAAAAGAATAAGGTACAATAACCCTTGAACTTCTGTTCTTGGGTGATTTTCCACATGGATTTTAAAATCAACTTTTGTTCCTACTGTGTCCTGTGATTGGCACACTCATCCTTTTATTTTACCACCTTTACTGCTTTCAGAGGAGATAACTAGGCCAGGGACATTAGAGTCATATTTCCTGAATAATTTGAAGGCAGATGTTTGCCAAAACCTAGAAAAACGAAAATACAGTAGCGTTTTTTTTTTTTTTTTTTCATTTGGGTCACACTGTGCACCTCAATTTATCTGCTTTTAAAATAAAAGGTTTTCTTAATATTGATGTATAAGCCTGAACACTCATTTTGATGATTCATAGTTAACAATAATAGAAATCTGCTTTGACATTACATGATGTTTCCATTAAGTGTGTTAGTGTAAGGATAGATTGTTTCATTTTCTCTCAGTCTCTAGGACTACAGTAGAATCATAAGTAAACCTAGCAGTGTTTACTGATTTTCATTTAAAGCTTTCATTCTACTTAGGTTACACTTGTACAGGTGGCACATGGGCTTGGACCACATTTTTCTAAAGTGACATCTAATTCTGATTATGTCTAGGAGGGTTTGTACCAAACTGAGATGCATTAAATTTGATGTCTATAAAGGGGAATACCCTACAAAGTCTACACTTTTTGAAAACTTTAGTGTGATTTTGCTGAAGTCAGGTAGCAAATTGGTAGCAAAGTTTTTAAGTCAATCCAATACCAATTTATTGCACTCTACTGCTTCAATCTTGCCATTTCCAGAGTGGGAAATGTGAATGTCAAAAATTAAGTAATTTTTTTGTATGCGGTGATTACATATCTAAGTCTAGATCTGATAGATTTTAAAGCATTGAATGAATATGTTTTTGATCTGCACAGCACCTAATAATATTTTTATATACAACAGGTGTTTGAAATGGATATTGCCAAGCAGTTGCAAGCTTATGAAGTTGAATACCATGTGCTTCAGGATGAGCTTATAGATTCATCTTTAAATGACAATCAGAGACTGGATAAATTAGAAAAGGCAAACAGTAGCTTGCGCAAACAAAACTTTGATCTCCTCGAAGAACTGCAGGTACCATTTATTTTTCGTATTTAATTAACATTCTAATTTATCCACCTTTTCAGAAGAGACCGTCCTACACTGACGTACAGGAGAGACTGGCATTTGGTCTAGTGACTTTAAAGTGTAGCCGCTTGCAATTTTGTTCAGTTTAGCCTTTAAACTTTAAATGCAGAAGAAATTCTGAGAAGGGGGGTGGATAAGAGCATGTGCTTGCAATTACTGATAAGTTGATTCATCACACTGTCTCTTCTCTTCTAATTAAAATCATAGCTGTAGAAGATGACTAAAAATACACAAAGTCGTTTCTCAACTTCATATTTACGTTTTCAGTCACTGCTTTATTACAGCAGGGATACTAGTTATCATGGATGGGAAAGCTCATGCCAGCGTCACAATTTGAGGCACCAGATATGGGATACATTGTCTATAAAGACATACTCTTTCTTACAAGAGTTGTTTTTTTAAACTGTTATCCAGGTTGGTTAGACTATATGTGAAATAATAATTTCTAAGATATGCTCAGTGCCTCTTCAGCCTGCAAGTTTTTCAGAAGGAGTAGACCTGTCTCTGTAGGGGTCGTTCTTTGCTTAACTGTTCAAGAAGTCAGCTTATGGCTGCTTTATAACAGGACATTTGCTATAAAACTTTTGACTGTGCATTTGGTTTGACGGAGAAAGGGACTTCAAGGGTAAGAAGCAGTCATTTCAAGCCTCTTGATTATTGTTAAAGACATAGGCTCTGTAAGATAATAGGTGAAGGAAGGACTTCGGGTTCCTCGGCTGTTGGTCCTGTATCATGACTAAAGCTAGCCAACTGTGCAGATTTAGATTCCCTCTCCTAACAAAAATTTGCTTAAGCTGTAAATTCTGATCCTCTGAGATCTGAACCTGTTTAAGGTTCTAAGATTAGCCTTAGAGAATTCAGAAGAAGAGATACTCCTCTGCAAGATATTTTCATAAAGCTTCAGGCACGTGGGCAAGGAAATTGCTGAAAGTAGCATGGGGGAGAGGGATTTCTGGGATGAGTTTTAAGATGTGGTGTCCTATGGATACTTGCATCAGGAGATCTTCCACCTCTTCCTCCCCCAAAAGACTTTGCAGTCCTAAGCAGTTGTTTACAAAGCTCACCTCCACCTGAGTGCTGGCAAGGCAGCACCTAAAATCTTAGTGGGGAACTTAACTGTCTGTGTTGGAGCAATCCCTTCGTGTCGGAAGACGGCTTCATCACCCTTCATTTCCTACAGTGAAAGGTGACCCATTGCTGATGGGAGGAAAATGCATCATCAAACAATGTTGGTCATGGTTTGTCAATATTTTTGCCCCCAAAGGCTGAACACTTTAACCCACCATAATTACATGAAGGGCAGTGAGCTCATCAGAAAGGCAAACACTTTCCTGAAAGACAAGATCATCCAGTGCTCTTGTCTCCAAATGTTATCCAGTGCTGAAACTTCCAAGCAGATCTCTGTTTTTGTCAAAGTACCTCAGCTACAGACTTCATGTGATGAATGATTTAATACTTTGTTTTGCCATGAGGTAGAATGCCCATATATGCAGCCTTTCAAAGGAGAATTTCTGGAATTTTTCAAGATGTGTTGTCCATTTGCATATTGCACTAAATCCCCTCCAACCCCTTTGCCTCCAAATCTGGCATTTGTTGGACTCAACATCAAGATGAAATGAGGACGCAGCTAACAGGCTGGCTTGTCTTTGCTTTGCAAAGCATGTTGAATTCAACAAATATGGCTGGCCAGCTAACTCCAAACTGACCCATGGAGGCTTATCTTAACCTAAAATTCTTTGGCATATAATCTGCAGATGTAGTAACTTTCTAATTTCATTACCTTGCATTATGTTCTGAGTTTAATTGTGAACTAGTCAAAGCAATCAAGTTGAGAGAGGGAAGTTTCTTGTTATAGGCAAAAACATAGTTGTAGTCTAAAGTACACAGATCTAATAATGTCCATGTTTGCATTTACCTTTGCATTTTTTCATCATTTGGAAAGTATTTTATGTGTTTTAATGTATCTCAAGAATAGTTTAAAGTTGGTTTCAGTTATTAATGAATTTCCTTTTTTTTTTCCTTCCCCTCCTCCCTCCCCCTCCTCCCTCCCCCTCCTCCTTGCTTCTCACTTTGAAAGGTGGCTAATGGAAAGATCCAAAACCTCGAAGCTACAGTAGAGCTTTTATTGACCAATGAAGGTAAATTGAAGCAGTCCATTCTCACTCTTGAGCAGGAGCGAGCAGCTTTGCTGAAAGCAGTGGAAGAGATGCAGAAAAAGATTGGTGACACAGATGGGAAGCCTCTACTTACTAGACAGCAACACATGGATGCTGACTGACATTGACAGTTGTAATGGAGTAGAGAAGCTGAGCAAGAAACAAAGGGAAGAACTGGGTCTTTTTGTCATGATCCATGGGGATTTGACATTGTCACCTTCATTGTACATGCCTTACTGCAGCAAAGCAAGACACAGGCATGGTGGCTTCCCATACCAGAGAAGCTGGTTTCTCGGGGAGAAGGCTCTTTCTTCTTAGTATGTAGAAATACTATGAACAGTAAGATGCCACATAATACTAAGCAGGAGAAACTTAATAGTGCGTGCAGTCCTACCCAGTACACTGTAAAGATGTCACGGAGTCTTCCATAAGTGCTTCTTAACCTAAGTGCTTTGTGTTCATCACATATTTTGTTTGTGTGTAGTTCGCCACCATGTTAAATAGCTCATCGTTTAGAAGGTCCTTTGAAGAAATATGACAGTTTAAAACCTTTCAGTGAATGACTGCCCCATTGCAGCTATGAGGTGGTAACATTTACAGAGAGCTTTGTGATTGGACTCGAGATATTTTTGACAGTTTAATTCCCCTACAGCTTGACTGGGTTCTGTTAATTATGTTGTTTACGCTTCAGAAAACTGCTTCCTGATGCTTGAAGGTGTCAATCCATTGAACTCCAGGGAGCTGGACTTCATCGTATGTAACTATGCATAATTGGGGGGTTGCCATCCGTTTTTATAAGTATGTTGTTTTAGTACATCTTTTGTTTAACAATCATTAATTTTGTGTATTGTTAGTTGGCATTATCTGATAAACATACTGTATATAGTAACTACATTATGCTTAACAAAATACACTGACATTGGTTTGGTGAAGCCTGTGACTTGCAGCATCATCCAAGGTTTTATATTCAGACTCTTCAGCTTTCATCTTATTTATTTCTGGTCTGTTGTGTGATGTAAGACATCCTTTTGCTGGGGAACTAATGCCCACTGTCATGTTTTTCCCCTTATTTGGTACTCTGTGCCCTCCCATCCTCTGGGAAATGTTATTCTTTAAGACTTTTTCTGGAGTAGTGGAGGCATTTCAACAGCTTCGTGTTGTGCCAGATATGCTTAAACTGTTTTATAAAGGGTATGGCAGTTTAAATTAGGACATCGTTGTTTTTACAATGCATCTTTTGAGTAAGATTGCACATGTTCAAAAACAAAATAAAAAATTCTAATTTTCCTTAATACAATGAAAATAGTTATCAGGCCAGTTAAAGCATCACTGCTACAAGTGCAATAATATCCATGGGTATCCAGTTGTTTGGGTTTGCTTCAGAATTAGCAATAGTGCCATAGTTTTGTTCAGTCCCCCAAGAACAGAGTTAACAGGCATCAGTGTTTTGTTATGGTAGAGATTCACCCAGGAGATGTGATTTTTACTTTTTTTTTTCTTAAGTTGATGTTTTTATTTTTAAAACTTCAAAGCACACATTTTTTTCTTTTTTGGCAATGTAGAAGAGGTTTTGTTTTGCTTTTTCCTTTTCTCATGCAAATCCCCCTGATGCATTGTGGTTGTAGTTTAGCAGGAGAGCTGTAACCTTCCTCTACTGTGCAGAGCAAATACCTCTATGTAGGTCAAAAAGAAAAAGAGAATTTACTCTTCAATTTCTAGAAGCTTTGTTTGGCTCTGTCGTGTCTTAAATATGTCTGATTCTCGCAAATCCACTCTGTACTCGCTTAGTATTGAAATTTCAGATAAATCAGTTATTATTAATCCATTTACCTCTTAGGCTTGTTTTTTTTTTTAATCTGGAAATCCATATTGAAGCTCATGCTTCATGTTTAAAATATTGTCGTAATGGACCTCATACTGTTAGAGCACTCAGTAATATTGCATTTTTACAGCATAGTGCCATAATTCATCCACTGACTTTTTAACAAGAGCAATAAAAATAATAATAATCTATGCCTACATCTATGTTTGTACATTTTTTGACATTTAAAAACAAAAACATAGTTGATGGGGTGAAAGTTCAGAACTGTGTAAGATGAGACTTTGCCTGAAAGTACAGTACCATCTACAGTGGTTATTAGTGAAAACTCTTAGTCCTCAGACTCTTCTAAACATGCTAAGGATCCAGTTGTCATCTTGGGACCTGCATCTGCATATGTTGCTATGGCGAAGTATGTTCCACATGACTCCAAGGATGCATTCCTTCTTGTGATGTTTTGGTTCTCTGCCAGCGTAAGTGGACTACTTCTAGTCCAAAGCCTTTTATTGATAAGTTGTGTAATTCCAGAAGTGCACTTAAATGAGAACTAAAGTCACTGTTCTCAGAATGCACAAAAGTGGTAAATACATAACAAGCAACTTTTTGCTTTTGTGACTACATAGATGTAACTGTTTCATTGTACCAGGGAGTTGAATTTTCTGTGGGTCCAAATGCATTTTCTATTTGTACATATGCAAATTAGTACAATTTTGTTAAATATGCAAGTATCTGGCAAAGTGAGAGAACATGTCATCCACTGGTTCAGGGTCTGAATATGAATAGAATACTTGATTTAAGTCTTTCTGCAGCTCACACTGAAGCAGATACATGGTGTGTTCCTTCAGTATGTCGTTCCCCGTCCTGTGCTGGTTTTTGTCACCAGGCATCTCCAGTTCAAGGGGCCAAAGTGGAAGAGTGTGGAGGAAGGTAATACCGCTTACCTAGTTCCCAACTTCAGAAAAGCTTGGGGCTTTTCCCTTCAGAAGTAGGAGAAAGAACTAATAGAGCCCAGAGCTAGTCCCAGCTACTTGCATCCTTCTCCAACTACACTCTATAGCTGAGCATCCTTAAGATGTGTAAAATTAGATCTCCTGTTGTATGAGTACCAAAAATTGTTATCACATACTGTCTTCCATATGAACAGTAATACCTCATGCGGAGAATGTTCTAAAAAAAACTCTGCAAATCCATACACTG